GACCCTCCGTTCGCACGGCCCTAACGCGGAAGAGGCCGCGGCGCGTTCGTGTTTAAACGGCAAAAACCCTGCGATGCGCACGCGTATACAATGCCTACTCTTCATTGGAGTGATGAGACAAACTGCAACATACCGAGTCATTCATTGCTTTTATTGTTACTCTAAATTGATTTTCAAATGCCGTTACAGCAGCCTATGTTTTGCACCATTGTTTAAGGTGGATACACCACGCGGCAGTTGCACAAGGTGTTTAGCAATAATGACGAATTGTTTTAAGGAAGACAAGAAGGACGTAGAAGAGAGCACGAAATCAGTTTTAGAAAATACAAATTATTCTGTTAAAGAAAGTTAAAATTATCCTAGTCAAAAGTAACGAGCATCAAAAATTTTTCAAATATTTAACTGATATCTGCAAAATGTAAACACAACAGATGATAATTCAGCACTACAGACACAGATATTACAAACGTAAATGACGTCTAAAATTCGGATGGAAAAATATTCCAGGAAAAATTTAAACATGAAAATCAGTTCAAGATGAGACGGTTACGTTGCGTTTTACATCACGTTTTTTGCAAATTTTGGGGTTGAGGTTACACCTCGTACGGACCCTAATAAATATTTTCATGTTTATACGTTATGTAAACTTTAAGAATTAATAAAAGGCAAAAGCCATATTTAGAATAACAGCGATTTTGATATATTGACAATTTGAGTTTAGAAATCACATTGCATGGGCTGTATGACAAATTACTCTTAAACGCATTTAACGCTAATTAATCTCACTGGTATAACTTATTAGTTAGACGAGCACTAGCCGGATATTTAGGCTGAAAATTTATGTCTTCACTAACACGTGTTAAGCTACCCGAAAATTTACGCTGCTCGGTTTGAAGTGAACGAGTCACAATTGTAACAAAACGAGGGCGAGCTGAGGCTTACATAATAATTTTTTTGTTGGGCAGGCTTTTATTCTTTCTACCTGATGGGTTGGTACCTGCACCACAAAACGCACTACCCGGAACACTATTAAACAACGCCACGAGGCATAAAAAAATGGGTAGAAAAACATAAAGTTGCGCTCTTTGATGGACAGAGTATAATCTAATTCCCGAAATGTTCAAATATACCGTGTTATTTTCGGGATAGCAATACATATTTTCAGGAATATTAGAGTTTAAGAAAGACGATATCTACATGTTTTAATAGCATATAAAGAGCTTATAATGACAGTTTAGTTAGAATAATTGAAACAAATCAATTTTATGGTTCTTCTACAAGTGCAGAGGTTTCCTGCAACATATTTTTTCAATTCTAAAATCAATAAGCTATAGGTAGGATATCATTTACTTATCGAACTCCTAAAATAGAGATAAAGAAACAGGCCAAACCTAGCGATAGATCCAAACTAATGTCGTAAAGATAAGGAAAGTGTAGCCATGCCCAACAACTTGCCTGAAATGTGTCGAATTAAAATGGATGTAATATGCTTCACGCACAAACTGATGTATTGTAATTATAATAAAGGCATATACAGCGAGAGAACTACATTATGTTCACATCACTGAACTGTGATACGAGAAAGACTAATAATAATATTTTCTTAACTGCAGCATCGAAACAGCGTAGTCAGTCACGTTTGATTTTATATTTATGTGATTTCTATAGATACGTTGTGAATGGTTTAGATACTATCATTATAGTTTGGTTTTACCTTTCTTGAAGAAGGTTACGACGAACAACGTAATTTTGCATTACGCGGTCATTTCTACACTAGTTACTTAAAAAAATTGGCTATGTACAGGTTTCTATCGTGGTTAGACTTCTTATCGATTTCGATCTCTCATTATTAAAACTCATTTTTCTGATATTTCGGAACGGTTAGACGATCCATGGTCACGAATTGACACACTTAAAGTCAATTTAAGTATATACAAGTAATACCGTGGTGAAATTTATAACAGGTGATAATCATTTAGTGACTACCACGAAAGCTTTATAATCTATAATGTTTCATGTTGCATCGATTTAAAGTTTCTCAGAACCAACTAAGCGTTAATTTAACACTTAATGTTGAGTCAAGTCAAAGTTAAATAACCTTTATTTCATAGATAAGCAAATTACACTTGAAATCGTCATACTGATTAAACTCTAGTGCTTATTCGTAAGGCAGTTTCCCCTGAAAAGAATAAACAAGAAACTCTAGGGGTTTCTCTTTGTAAATGAACATTTATCATTACAATATTTAATTTAAACATCATAGACCTAGACTACCTGCAAGAGCTAAATGGGTCACTAGTAATCGATTTAGTGATGTTAAAGAAAGTCAAATATGATCTAAGTACCGATGTTGAAACCCAAAATAGAAGGAAGTTAATCGATACATTAAGAGTGGTAAATACAAGTGTAACGAAGGCTAATCAACGGTAAGGAAGCAAGGTTCGATGCAGCTCGATCGTGATAAGCGCATACCGCCACACGCGCCGCTGCCACCGCCAAACACTTCAATGCGTTTTGGCAAACCGATAAAACTATTGCCCGTCCGTATTTAAGTTCCGTTAAATAAATCGGTTGGACAATCCTGAAAATCTGCAATTTCTTTTACCATATTTAGATTGTCAGATCTTAGCTTCATTTTTAAAATATTATAAATTGTATTATTAAGACACGTAGGTACAGAACTGCAAACTAAATCTAGGCCTAAAACAAAAAATAACACGGGGACGTAAATAGGGCGCAGGTGGCGGATGTGTATTGTGTGCATATTAGTAAGGGTGAGAGGGGAAGGTTGTCGGCCCCTATGCGTGACGTCACCGCACTGACCACTCCGGGACTGCCACAATGGCCTTTCTTAGAAGGAGCAGATGCGCTTGCGCCGCTAACTACGCCCCGCTCCACGTCCCGCCGCCTCTACACTAGTCTGCACATTAGGATAGCGAAATATTCAGAGACTAAAACTGCATAGGTAACCCTCACATTTTTACCTAGAGTTTTGCTAAATAATGGCCATGACTGAAATTGATTAAAAAAACAAGCATAATTTACCTTCAACCATAAAAGAACAACTATAACAAAAACTCACTGTGAGTAAGCAATATGTAAGCAGCGCGAAGTGTATCTAAACGACATTTTTGGGCGGCACGAAGCAGGTAAAGAGACGCCGAGGTTACCTCTATGTTAGAGCGCGTACCTGCGCTCTGCGCGCTCAACGTATCATTACGCGCTCCGGTAATGATACCCGTCCGTAATCACCGGGTCTCCGACGGCCGCTCGCTCTTACGCTCCTCCGGACGAACCACGCAACTTCCATGGATGAGTGTGGATCTAGTCATGATGTGCAAAAACATGCACTAAACCTCCACTCATCGAAAGAAATTGACCTTTCCGTCGACCGCCGCGCTGTTTCGCAGAATCCCCGTAGCACTGCACGCACTTATCGTTTGCGATGTCACGTTGTTCACCGAACCGAATGTTAACGAGCACGTTGCCGTGTTTTTTAAACAAGCAGATTGCGGCGCGGCAGCGCGTTACCGACACGTACACACGCCCCGACCGCTCAAAACGAAATAAACGGTCGAGATTTAAAATCTGGAAATCTAGACGCTGCGCGTGCGGTGTGCGGGACGCGGCGGGCATTCTCGTTGACCAATGGCAGCGCAGCGAGCTCAAACCGTGACATGGGGGGAGCATGCCCCGCGCCACCGCGCCGCCGTGCACGCCTGTCTTGCCCGCGCTCCGTTCGCCTGATATTATCTTTTCTCGAAGAACGTTATTTTCTTTCTTTCCTACTCGCCCCATCGTCCGTTCAACCGACAGCGGAAGTGAAATGAACGCGCTTATAAACTTTAAAGCCATGGATGGTAGGTAGGTACTATATACAACTCGGAACGAGGATGATGTTAGGACAAGTCAGCGTTTGCATAAATCCGATGCACAGGTCGTCGAAGCAGCAGCCGCCACACACGATTGCGGTCACCTATAAACGTGGAATCTTTCTTTTTTTATTATGATGGAACAAACGATTTACCTAATGTAATAATTTAATAATAAAGTGGCTATCAATGAATCAATCAACATTGATTCTTCTTTTTAATTAGTTTTCTAAGAAACCTTGGTTATAGAGTATGAACCATTTACTTCGCGCGAGTACGGCGGATTACAATACATGGAAATCTATTTGCAAAAAAGGTCTCTATGACGTGAGCTGTATGTCTAGTATTCTTGTAGAGCCATTAAGACTGATTGCAACATGGAAGCAACATAAATAATCCATTCTAACCGCGCGGTGAATCGTGATCAATTCGGAAACAAAATGCCCAATCCAATGTACAGAGATTTTCTGGTAACACCAAAGTTTAACGTTTCTCTATCAGCTGTAATGGCTTTTATCTGGCGCTTGTATTATGGGCAATATTGTTAAAAGGCCGTTTGTTTCAGTCACTTATTCATAGTTTAAGACTTCTGACCTTAATAGACTCTCCCTTCTCTTCGTAATTAATGGTAGAAAGCGCCATTGTAGCGAACCTCATAGACAAAGAGACCGCCCCCGACACTGAACGTATGCGTTCATTGCTTCGTGCGTTAAGCAATTTGGCACGGCGCATGTATTTAACTGATTATGGTCTCCGGAATTGGATGTACAAACTTTTAATTCTTTTTTAGGCTTTTTTTTTGACGGGCAGTTATAGTTGACAGTTTTCAGATAAAATAACCCAACTGCAATAGTGCCTTATTTCGAGTAGATAGAGTATTAACCAAATGGTTAAATGCTCCATGGCTAAAAATACATCGTGTACCTCAAAGCCACAGGACAGATACAAACGGCAAGCGAGATGTTGCCGATTCTAATTTTTACATTTTATATCAATTCGTCGTAAAGAGCTAAAGCGCAGTATGCAGCTTTAAGCTGGCCTTTTGTGTTTACGTTCCGCGGCCACAAATATATTACTGATGAAAAAATATATGATTAACACAATGACAAAGAAAGAATTTTAATCCATATCTATTTTATTATACTTAGTAAGTCTGACAGTAACAAAGGAATATAATTATAAACGTACACCAAACAAATCTTAAGGGTCATTATTCGCCACAATAATGGTACAGCCTAAGTCTGTAAGCTGCATGTACTCCGCTCCGCCATCCAGGAGACGATGGGAGCAGATGGCAATTTTGTCGCTGATGACGCATTTCTGTTTATTGGTCAGATGTCCAGCGTTGATCACCGTGGCGCTTAATTGTTCCAGCAACTGCGCTGCCGAATATGCTTCCATGAGGAACCTAAAAAAAACATGGTCAAAACCTTTGTTAGGTACTACTAAAGTTCAGTTTGAATCTTGAAGTTGCCGTCGCCATTGCCATTGCATTTTTAAATTACGAGCCCTGGTTGGCCCTTTTACCTCATGCGTTAAGCCAGTGGATTACCTTCTATTTATTATGTTTAAGTTAAAATAAAATTAGACAATCATAAAAAGTGAAGAATTGAAAAAGAACATTTGATCTATCGTTCAGGGATAGTGTCAATCCGCGTATGTAGTATTGGTCAAAGGCGCGTATCTGCACTAAGCCAAATTTCATAAGAGAGGGATTTTAACGTTAATATTTTGCTATTTCAATGGCTACGACTTTCATTTTTGCACAGTAAGCTTTCATTTATGTTGTCTACGGACTGATAACAATTCCCGTAAACCACGCTAATTTGGTTGCTACGACATTTACGCGGATTTGATTTGGTTACTAAATTACCGAAATGGAAACTCATAATCAAATGCTAGTTACTAGGCGTACTCGATATAAAAAATATCGATATATTCCCTCGATATATCGTATCAATCTGATATTATCGTATCATTCGGTATCGATATGTGCTAACGATACATTTTATCCAATACATCGTACAAAGTTGAAAGCACGCAATTTAAAATTGTACTTGCAGAAACGAAACTCACTTCGAGCGTTGATTCGCTGGTCATCCGTCAGTGTAACGTAGCTGTTATATTCTCATTGGCTAGCCGCACATGCACGCAATAGTATTGACAATAATATTGGTAGTGTGCGGGCGATATTGTTGTGCCAACACACAATATCGCTTCCCAAGAACATACATAAACTTGGATTGTCAATCAATCGAGTGTGTGTGTGTGCGTTATTATTATAATAATATTGTATGTGTGCGGTTAGCCGTTGATCAGACAGAAAACTGGCAACCCTGCAAACGTCATTTTACACCATCTTCAAGGAAGACGAAAATTTGAAATCTATTTCAATAAAATGATTGGGTATATTTACACCGAAACGAAATATTCATAAAATAATTACATTATTAATCCAAAAATCAAATGCATTTATTGCAGATTGATGGCATTGTCTAAAAAGTTTCTATGAAATTTTTCGAAAAAAATACCGGATGTTTGTTTTTATTTGAACAAATAAAAAGGTTTTGAAACTAATTCATACTTGTAGCATAGCAAATTAAAGAAAAGACAAATAAATATACATTTGATTATAACTTCACACGACTAATAAGAATACTACTAGTACATAGAATACTACTACTTATAACGATCGTCGAGTTCAATTTGGTGTGAGAAAGTATTCGAAATTCTTCACAGTGGCGATTAAACTAATCTAGAACTGTGTTTTAAAAGAGTCTGAATGAAATAGAATAGAATTTAACTTCAAGCATTAATTACTGCTATAATTCTTACCTACCCATAATGGGTTCACTTTGTACAGTCAAGAGCACATCAAGCTTGACACTTTGGACTATGGACTGTTCTTATGGCAAGCAGCATATAGTTAAATTGAAACGGTTAGTGTCAAGCTTGACGTGCTCTTGACCTTGTACCATAGCGGTACATGATGATCATCTGCTAGCTACTAACATTTTTTCATGGCAGATTTCTAGTAGGGCCGCGTTAGATGCCTAAACGTGTATTTATAATTTTTCAATGATTTGTATGACGGAACTTTCTGACGTTATGGCTTATTAGTTCGGTACTATTTCCATACCAGTCGCAAGAGCGAGCTTATAACGTTTTTTAAACAAAATTGTAAGTCTAAACTTGACTTTTAGGGAATGCTATCCCGCAGTATAATCACAGTTCCGGTATTTGCAGGATTGAAAGTTTCTGATCCCGCGGGATCCTGGTATTTGCTGGATTACGCAGAATGCTGAAAGTCTTCGAGAAAAAACGTCATATCATCAAACCACAACTTTGCGAAGAGCTAAAATCCATAGAAAGATATTATTAAGTTGTTTGTTGAGATCAATCACAATTTAGGTGTCATAATAAGACCTAGAGATATTGATTAATAAATCTTCCAAATATTTTGACTTGGTATAAATTTCATATTTTGTCGCTAAATACACATGCACTTCTTTAATGGAACATCCTATCGTTTTAATTATCGATTTACACAAGCTGAATTTCGCTACCTGCTAATTTTAAACCTTCAAACAGTACTTCCACACAACATCAACTCTTGCAAAAACTTTGACATAAGAGCCTATGCACACTGCTTATGGGACTTTTTACGCAGACGACGGCAACGCGTCTCATTTCAAGATTCAAGCGCGCCGATCAATACATTTAATCTCCCAAACACCGCGGGATTCCGCTCAATTTAAATGCGGGATCAGTCCCGCAAAATTTGTGAGGGATCCCGGTATTGCATTCACTAGTCAAGTTATAATAATAAAGCCATAACTTATAGTTAGCAAGTTATAATAATAATAGGATAAATAAAAAAGTACACTCACTTTTCGACAAACTGTTCCAACTCACTGTAGTTCTTAACGCTGAGGTACTCATTTACCAACTGCTCTGGCACCAAGCCTGTCACCTGTTAAAATTCATTTGCAAATACTATCTACTGGCTAATAATTGTATTCAACTTGGTATAAATAAGCAAAGCTATTTTATGCTACTCTTGTCTCTAACATTGAAGAGTTCGCAGACAATTGGCACATCTGGCGCTTTCTATAGCTGTCTCTGCAATCTATTTTGAACACCATTTTTGTTTGTTTTATCTATCATTTTGACATAGTCTTTAATTGCATGTGAATCATTTAATTCTATTAGCTAAATATGTTGCCCATTGCCGTAATAATCACTACACTATAATATTTACATGTGAATATATTTGAAGTGGCAAAATTAAAGGTTTTTTTTTCACTGCCATGATACTACATAATGTAAATATGTTTTCTCTTAGTCCTCCATGGTCTATACTACGACAGAGGTGTCATAAAGACCATGAAATATTGCTTAAGCCTTATTTAGTTAGCAATAATAATTCTGAAATGTAAGCACTATGAGTAAAGGATAAATATTATGGATTCAGAACATATTTTAGAATGTCTTGTCATGTAATATTCATACCTCAATAAGCCCCTCAGCAGTGATTTTGCCGAGCAGGCGTTGGCAGCACTGCAGAGCGGTTAAAGCGCGCCGAAGATCTCCTTGACATGTATCCACTGCTTGTTGAAACACCTCCCCATTTCCCACTTCCACACATTCTGCTTCACAAATTTCTTGTAATCTGAAATTAACAATATGATAACTCTTTTTATAAATTACATTTCTCAAATTACACAAATGACATAAAAAAAGCACAGAGAATGTACTACTATCAAAGGCAATGAGGGGCAAAAAATTATATTGATTTATACATTTGTTTTTATTTTTCCTGAAGAATATTTAACCGGTGACCACTGATGAGTTGATATACATAATAACTAAAAGTAAGAGCTGAAGGGTCTTAACCTGTTTAATAAATTAGCAGGCCTGAGGCCACTGTTGGGAGAGCTATTGGACACTTATGCCAGAAGGCTATGGTATCAGAGAAAATGGGTGTGAGCACACACAAAATTATGGGCTCTTGGATCTCACTGATAAGAACAGTACTTTGGTGCATAATGTGGATTGGTTTCCAATCTGGTTGGTTTTTTTTATAATATCAAGTGATGTGATGAACAAGTCGTGCCCCTTAGAACTTAAATTGTAAAATATGAGGGGCTACTGCGCCCGTCACCCTGAGACATAAGTTGACAAGTTCCATGTGCCTGTAATTTTACCTATGTACCATGGCCTGTACCACGGGCCAGTACCATGAGCAAGAGCGGTTGAGGTATCAGAGTCATTGACATAGACATAGACATAGACATAGACATACTTTTATTGGCACGAATACAACAACACAAAACCACACTAAAACAGTTTACAAACAAATAATTAGGTATATGACTTATAATTACAATTGAGAGCCCGGATCGACTATTCCTACAAAAGTGACCACTGTTCTATCAGTTCAATTGGTTTCTAAGTACAACCAGATGTAACAAAATATAACCACATATTCCTCATCAATAATAAATTTCATCCACTAACCTTTTTATAACATTCTCTCTAGCAAGTGGTTTAAAGCGGAACTTTGAGCAGCGACTGGTGATAGGTGGTATGATTCTTGACACATAATTGCAAATGAGACAGAAACGTGTAGTTCTTGTCTCTCTCTCCATTGTTCGCCGAAGAGCTGCCTGTGCTGCAGTAGTCATAGAGTCAGCTTCATCTAGTATCACCAGTTTGTAGGGTGGGCATGGTCGACCACTGTGAAAATCAGTAATTATTGCATTGTGGTTCAATTTAAGTCACAGTACCAACCACAACATGAATTATGTGAAGCAAAAAAAGAAAGTAGATGGAAAACAGCAGTGTTCCAAAGAACCTATTTTTTAAGGATTTTTATTAAATAAAAACAATTCTGAAACAAAAAATAATTACTCACTCTGGTTTTGTGCTGCTAACAGTCATTTGAGAAAACGTTTTCACTTTATCCCTAATAACTTGAATGCCACGTTCATCCGACGCATTCAGCTCGAGCACTCTATCTCGTTGTAAATCTCCAAACAGTTGCCGCGCCGCAGCTAGGATGGCACTCGTTTTGCCGGTACCGGGCGGCCCGTAAAACAATAGATGAGGCAAATCACCACCCGATAAACACTCCCTCAATACTTGAACCACTTCTCCTTGATCAACAATATCATCTATAGTCTTCGGCCGACTGAAAATAAAAAAATCACAAAGTTAAATTACCGGCAGAAAGAAAATATCTAAGCTGAGCAACGTACCACTCACTATTTCTCAACCCATGGCGCTGGAGGTTTTTTTTTAGCAGCTGGTTTTGCCCCAGAAGTGGAAGGCTTATCTGTTGATGATATTTTACCAGTCTTTAAGAATGCTTGCATTTTATTTTCAATTTAGTATCGAAATTCTAAAAATTTACGCGGCAAAATCAACAGCCGTAAAGCACAGCGCATGTCACAAATTAGAAAGATGAGCAATATTGAACTTGTAATGTCACATCTGTCAACTGTCAACTTTTTTGGTACTGTTTTTTCCATTGAAAAAGGCAAGGGCACTAATATGGCATACAGCCAAGACTGGAGCAATTTCTTTATCCATTTCAAAATAATATAAATATATATTACAATATATATTATAAATATATATTGCATATAAAGATAGGCAAAGGTTTCACCATACAGCCTTTAACCGATTATTTTTTATTCTATTCGTCCAAAAAGGACAGGCTAGGGTCAAAGACCATACAATCTGTATCTAGAGATGGGGTTTTTACCCTATAAATATCCGTCAAAGGATAAATATCCAATAAATACCCGTTTTTACTGAGTATCCTAAAACATGGATAATTTTTTTTTTGTGTTTTTTACAGTAAAATTCATTAGAATTCATTTTTTATTAAATAGTTGCGTGCGATTACTTCTCATTTTGCCATTGTTTTATGTAAGGGCGCTCCCTCACCAGGGAGCATTCGCTTGTCAACATTCTTTTTTTTAATTGTAAATTATTTTTTCCATCCTCTAAGGTAGAACCTTCCATCCTCTAAGAGTAGAACAGAAGACGTCGCCGGCGGCCAAAAGCAGTAGAACTACTTATTGTTAAATCCTCATAGGATGGAAAAAAGTATAGGAAATATTAAATCAAACAGACCAGGCAACTAGTGGCAACACCGCCGTCAATGTCTACTTGGCTAGCTTTTTCTTTTAATTAATAATTTTGGCTTGGATACAAGTCCTTTGAACCATGTCATGGTTTAATTATGTTTCTGTAAATATGGCCGCCACAAAGAGAATAGGCAATTTGAGGCGGCGCGCGGCGTGCTTGGATTGACTCGGGATTCCTTAGAAATATAAATACAGGTATTTTAGTTCGAGATTCGTATAATTTCGCGTTTTAATATTCGATTAAGGCACGATAGCACTATCCTAATCCACTTTAAATTAGATTTCACAAAATAATTGAAAGTCAAAATAAAAACGACACTTTTCCCTCCAAAAAGGCCCAAAGCGAATCTTAGCTTGGCTAGCCTTTAAGCTTATAAGACAGTGTTGTAACTAAAATGACGTCCAATAACGATAGTTAAATCGCACCCCAGTATGCCAGTTCGTTTTATTTAGTTGGTTGAATTCGTTAAAAAAGTAAGCGTATTATTGGAGGCTTATTTTTTCTTGAGCCTATTTACTTTTTTGTGTTTATATTTACAACCTCCCAGGACTATATTACTAACATCATAAACAACTTTGGTTCCATGACTTTTTACAAAACAATAAATTTATCATGAATAATAATAACCTTTCGAGTTTTTATTGTTTTAATATCTGACAAGTTTTAGCACTGTATTTGATAGAATAAGTTTAAACGTGCAAGCTTCCTCCGCAACGACGCTTATTACCATATATAGTGATCTATTTAAATCTATTTATATTTTTGTATGAAAGTAAAATCTGATGAATTAGTAAAAGTCATGAAACAAAAGTTTTTTCCACTGCTTTTATTAATCCGTTTATGATGTTAGTAACATAATCCTGCGAGTTTATTAGTTTAAAAAAATAAAACTAAGTTATATTTTTAAGTTAGAATTTTTCATTGAAAAGCGAACTAGTAAAATGTAACTTTTTACGAAATGTAATTTTTGACTCAAGATCTCTGACTGCCCTGGCATGGCAGTGGCAAGTAGACGTGTGACGATCGAATCAAAATGATTCTAACAGCACCTGTGACCCGATAACCCGAGTCAACGGGTTATCCATAGATCATACACTATATAGTTGAGGTTATTATAAATAAGATTCGCTCTGGGCCTTTTGGAGGGAAAAGTGTCGTTTTTATTTTGACTTTCAATTATTTTGTGAAATCTAGTTTAAAGTGAAATAGGATAGTGCTATTGTGCCTTAATCAAAGATTAAAACGCGAAATTACACGAATCTCGAACTAAAATACCCGTATCGGCCCGTTTTAAGGAATCCCGAGTCAATCCAAGCACGCCGCCCGCCCACCTCAAATTGTCTATCCTCTTTGTGGTGGCCATATTTATAGAAATATAATTAAACGTTTATGTTTTCGGCTGAAGGACTTTGTTTCCATGGCCAGCAATAAATTTAAAAAAAAATTATTATAAATAATCCTTACAATATCGCGGGAACCGGGAACAATGTTTGCTGATTTGCTGTTCATTTCTTTACATTATAATCTTTAAAAAGTGTCGTTTTATTAGGTCTAATTTGTTCTAAACCAAAATGGCCGAAAGATCAAATAAAAAATCTACTTCATCAATTGAAAGCTATTCTATAACTACTAAACGTGTTGAGAATTCCTGGATTCTTCTGATTAAAGGTAACTTTACGATTGATGACACCAGTTAGGCTTAATTATTAATCTAATTTTTTGTGCCGAATACTTATTTTTTGGGCGAGTATTAGCATAAAATAGCGAAAGATAAAGTAATTTAAGTCGTACAGTTTTATAACCTACGATCTACGATGATAATTTTGAAGCTCTATTTTTATTGCATTGTTGTTTACAGATGAATTATTTGAAAACGACAACTTCAACATTATTACTCTACCCCATCCGGGCCACGGCGAAGACATGAAGTACTGTTTAGATGACGCTAACGACAAAATTTATGAAATAGTCTCTTTCAGTGAACCACATAGATCTTGGTTTATTGGAGAAACCGTAAAATCAGACGGCAGCGTTATGATGGTTACACCAGTAAATCCCCTTTTTCTAGGTACTTTAACAATATTATAATTTTTTTTAACATTCTTATCCATATACCATCTCTCATTCATTACTCATTTATTAACAAAGCACTGTTTAGGTGCCACTACTGCATGTTTTAACTTCTTTCTAATATTTCTTATGATGATTTAAATTCATAAGTGCAGGTATTTCTTTTTAAATATATGTCCAGTTTTCTTACTGAATGCTTCATGTAATATAATTGTATACTTCATTTCAGTACTACCAAGACTAAGAGAACAATGTACAAAGAGAGCAATACCTCTACAGGATCTGCTCTCTGAAAAGGGATTTGATAAGATTATAGATTTCGTCCCTAGCTTGATTAACATAGCAGACTTGAAGGTAATTAATTGAAGCAATCAATCACGCGATGCGTGCTGGAAACTGGTCGCGACATCTTTAAGGCAGTGGGTCAGATATCAGGCGGCCAGATTTCCGGCTACCTACGGGTAGGTGCTCGCTCGATATCTGGTAACTGGCAAATCACCGTCCGTTTCATCTTTGATTGATATCAATTTTATTTAGTTTTCCATCTGTCATTGTTTCTTTTTCCTGGATACTGTTTTAACATATACCATCAGTGTTGTTCAACACTGGAGCATCCTCAGATTATGCAAATGTGTGCACCCGTATATGGTGCACTGCAACGTTTGTATGGAATTACCATACTTGTTCTTATTCTATCTATGGTTTTAGGGACTGTTTAGCTCCACATAAATAGTAGCTGAATACAGTCTGATTAAAAATTTAATTTTAAAGCCATAATTATTAATATACTTTTAGGGACCGGCAGACATGAAAGCCTACAAATACAATGAAGAAAAAACCTTAACATGGCTTGAAGGACGAGTACAAAGTTTAGCCAAAGTGCTAAGAGAGAAGAACATTCATGTCACCTCTGGGGCTATCTCGGCCTCTTTTGTGGCTAGTAATATAAAAAATGACCAAATTGAGGAAGGTAATCAATAACTGAGAACAACCTGTTTTAACACAGAGTAATAATTTTGGCAAATTTATCCTTTTTTTATCTTTACTGCAACAGTTTGCCCTGCAAAAGACCATTATAGCCTGATGTTGTGGTTTTTGCCTTAAGCTTAGCTTTATGTAACATGTAAGATGAATTTTTAATTTTCAGAATTTTATCTAAAATATGCTCACGGAATGATATCTGAATATCTGCCAGAAGATCTTGCAGATTTATTACAAAAAAGATTCAAATTTAAACTTGAACTAATAGAATCCCTTGGAAAGAAAAGAAAGTCTGAAGCAGGTGAACAAAATGAAAAAAAGAAAATAAAATGTGAAACTTTTGAAAATAGCTTTGAAGATAATAGTCCAATTAATATTGTTGATGTGAAAAAGCAAAAACACTTAAGTGCAAAAGAAAAGGCCAGACTCAAAGCAGCTAGTGGAACTAAAACATTGTCAGCATTTTTTACTAAGAAATAATTGTGTGCGAAACCAATGATGTTATTTAATGTATGATGTTCTTAAGTTTTTAGATCAAATGAAATGATATTATTGTGAACTACCAAGAAAATAATCTCAATATAAGTACCAATATTACGCTAAAAAGTATTTAATGAAGCAAGGCACTCGAATCTACAACTCGGGAAGGACTACTGTTAGGTAATTTTCTGAAAAATTGGAAAAATACTATTTGAAGGCTCATATGTTCTGTAAAGACTTGAAGTTTATTTAGCTTGAATTATAAAATAAAATTGTGTAGCTAAAAGATAGAGTAAAACGAGATTTAAAATGATCGGACAACAGCGAAAAAAGTCAAAAGGTAGAAATATATCTTTACGTCATTGGCTCTACCGTTATTATTATTTCCTTAATAGCGCCCAACTAGGCTTGGGGCCAGTGTCAGTTAAGGTGTGTCCAAACATAAAGCGGCATTCGAGCGCGGCTTGCTATGATTGGACGACTGCCGCGCGCGGCAGCCGCGAGCTACCTGCCGGCAAACGTGTGTCCCGCGAATGCCGCGCACCTTGCACGCCGTGTTTGGACACACCTTTAATGTTGGTCACAAGCTGTTAGCAGTAAAAGGGATCATTCATTATCCTGCATTGCTGTCCGCCGCGAAATGCGGGGTCTAATGCGTCCTGCAAAACTCCATACGTTGACCATTTGCAGGATGGTGTGTGAACAGCCTCCTACCTGCGCGGCCGACTGCCATACTGGTATCGAATGGGCCACTTGACAGCCCATCATTGACCTCGTTAATGCTGCCCACGGCAAATTGTAAGTGGCAGAAACACCATCCACCTTTAGGCCGCTGACGAAGAGTTAAATGGTCCATTCACTACCTGCATGACAGTCCGCCGTGCAGGCAGGACCCTGCTCCGACACTATCCTGCACATGTCCCACGTATGGACTTTCGCAGGACGCATTGCAGGATGGCTTGCACGCTACGACTACATACATAATCCTGCATTACGCAGCGGACTGCAATGTAGGGTAATGAATGTCCCCTTTATGATTATTGGGTTTGCCTTTTAATTTCATTGCTTATAAAGGCTTTCGCACAAAGCTTGTTTTTCGTCTTTGTCAGTTGGTATAAAGTAACGCGTGATTATGTTTGAAATAACAATCTTATCAAATATGCACAAGGTATGCACATATAGATTTTAATGGACCCTCCACAGCCACAGAACGCAATATAGTGCACAGACTACTTAGTGAACTACGTTATATAGTGTATATGATCTATGACAGACAGAACATAGTGTTGTTCGAGTCCACCATAAAACAAACCGATATTGTTAATTTCGATTTTTTTTTTACATCTAGCAACATTGGAGGAGCCGCCATTACTAAACGTTCCATCCGTTCCTGGACATTCAGTGGAATTTTATATTGCGGACATTTTAATAATTATAGTGAATTTCGGACACTTTGGACTCTGTGTAGTGAACTGATGTGATTAATCTTGATTTTGTTGTGATCTGAGACTCATATAAGTGCTCAATCTTTACAAAATCGCGGCCAATGTCAGCAGGCGTGTCAGATCAGGTATTTAGCGTTAATGCTATTTTTTTTCTTTATTTACGTATAAAATTGTGGATTTATATAGTTAACGTTGTGAATTTATCTCTTGTTTCATGACGGTGCGGTCCGTAGCGGATGAAAGGGCAAGGGAACCAAGGTAAAGATGGAACCATTATGACGTTGCAAGGTGTTTTCTCCGTAGGAAGATCCCCCGCACCGGGCGGCTTCACGTCCGGTGTCGTTTCCTATGAAGCCGTTGCGAGCGTCACACTCATATACTTTCTCTGTTTTCGCTTTCTATGACTTTTAACATAAGTAGGTACTCAGTCGTACACATTAGTACTTAGAGCTATATTTCATACACAGTATGTTTCAGAAGTACTGAAGTTTTAGGTACGCATTCTTAATCATACCCTATTACAAAATGGTCTAAGCAGTCTATTGCAAAATTAGCAAAGGCATGCTTGTAAAACTTCAAATTTAAGCAAGCATGATATTTTTGTCCTTTGCTATTGATGACAGGAACTGTTCTAACTTTTAACATATTATTATGTGTCAATCCCCAGGTACATGTAAAAATGAATGAAAAATGTACCTGACAAATGTAGAGTCAGCAGACTTAAAGCACATAAGTAAAAAACCAATATCATTATTTAATTCAATATGTCAACTAAGTAAAGCTAAGTCAATTCATGTTCATTTGTTTCAACTTAAATACCAGTAGCGATTTTTTCAATCTTATCATTCTCTGTACATCTTCAGACATTATAAACTACACCAAATTAAGTTAAACCATATATTAAATTATTTTTAAAAATAAAGCATTATTTTTAAAAATAAAGCATTATTT